GTGTGTGTGTGTGTGTGTGTGTGTGTGTGTGTGTGTGTGTGTGTGTGAGATGGAATTTCCTTTGTTTATTTGGAGAAGGCTGCATTAAGTGGAAAGAAAAAAAAACCAACATGGAGCTGGCACCAGGGAGGTGAACACGCCTATATGATTACTAGTCTAACTAGCCATGCATAAATACCCTTTGGAAGAAGTTTTCAATCATCTCTTCTAGCCTTGTGGGATAAACTATGACCAGCTGCTCTCTATACACTCTATTGGGGACTCATTTACCAGCCATTCAGAATCAGGTGTGACCAGATATTTACTGTAAGCAGAAATGAACTCTTTCTAGTTTCCCTCTTAATGTAGCTCATGAGGAAGTGTTTCATATCCTGCATTAATGTTCTTAATACTGTCATATGCTGGCATGTACAGTCACATGTGGGGAGAAAGCTGGTTTGTCAGTGGGGCAAAAAAGGGAGACAAGATAAATGCAGACAGGAGAATATCCTGTGGAACCAAGTGGAAACCAACTTTTTATTGATGACTTTTTGATATACGCACAATCTCCATGATCTTTCACAGATAGAGCCATCCACTAGTCAACGAGCAATAGTTGTCTCCTATCAGATCTCACCCGGGGGACAGGTCCAGGATATGTCAAACAGGAGAAACTGCAGTGGCCTTTGTGATGGGGATGAGCCACGGAGTATGTGTGTGGGAAGGGGGATGAGGCAGAGGAAGTAGAAGATTTATCAAGATGGAGCCATGGGTTATAACTACCAGAGACCAACTAGGGTCCTTAGGAGCCCCCAGTTGAAAAGACAATAACCAAATAGCTTCATAAGATTAACAATAGTGTACATAAAAGCGCCTGTGAATGTACTGAAATGGTCTCATTGACTTCCCACTGCATGTTTCCATTGGGCTGGAATCATATTTTTACTTAATTACATAGTTATTAACAGTATGAATTTAAATACAGGTAACCACCTCAGGGGACTCATAACACTAATCAGGACCTAGCTATATTATTCATATTTCACAAAGAAACAGTGGATAAGGAAGAGTAAAAATACACAATAAAAGTAGAAAAAGTGGTTGGAGACAGCTTGTAAAGGATTTTAAATCTGAAACAGAAGAATTAGTCTCTGCCCTCAGGGAGTTTACATTCTATTAGGGGAGACAACATGCAGATAAATAGGTACATACAAAAGAGCATGTGTAGAACATACAGAAGATAAAACCAGATATAAAGCAAAGAATGGACAATTCCAAAAGGGTCAAGACTTTGGTCAAAGTGAAAGCTGAAGTTCCCTGGAAAAGTAAGCTTTTGAATAGCATGTTAATTGAGGGAAAGAGATGTCCTACTCCCAAGAGTACTTGAGAAAAGTAGAGATTATTCCGGAAGCAGAGGAAGGAACACACAGTTAGATCTGAAAGACAACTTAGAGGTTTCCAATCCAAGGCCCTCATTTTACAGATGAGGAAAATGTGGCCCAGGGAGGTCAAGTAATTGGCCTAAGGTCACATAGGTGACAACTATCAGAAGTAGAATTTCAACAGCGGTCTTCTAACTACAGAGCTCATGTTCTCTCTTCTGTACCAAACTACCTCATTGGGGTAAGTTCTCACAGATCCAAGTATCTGGGGACTTCCTTTGGAAGGCATGGATGAATGAGACATATTCAGTCAGTCAATCAACAATTATTTCTTAAGTACCTACTATGTACTAGACATTGTGCTAATGAAAAAAAAAGAGCCAATTGCAGTGTACCCACCATTAGCAAATTCAGGACAGAAAACCACTATGGTTTGTTTTTTTTAAAGGTTTTCTAATCCCTGTCAAGCAGGATAAAAATAAGAGTGTCATCCCTATCCTCCAAAGTTAGAACACAAGATGAGGTCTGAGTCTTATTCATTCCCAGTCAGGCTGAATGTCATCAGTGCTCAGTTTGGTAAAGTGTTTGTGCCTTCCCAGTGTCCAAACCCAGAGTCCAGAACCATCCTTGTTTGTCCCAGAACTTAACCAGTTCCCCAGGTCCACAAATAAGGAACCTTTGCAGACTCAGGAGTCAGATATCAACCAACCCACTTGGGATTTCCCAGAACTACTAACATATGGACCACTGAAGGCTGATACCCATAATTTATCTCCTGCATCTGGGAACCAGATGGGAAGATAAAGGGGTGGTTTTCATCCCCTTAGCTCACTCCAATTCTGTGGTAAAGTGAACTGAACAAAAACCACTTTGAACATTTAGAAGCAAGTCATGGGAATAAGTCCTTTTTATCTGAGTGGGGATGGGGGGGTGGGGAACAATATTCTGGAATTTATTTCATTCCATAACTCAGAGATAAAAGCCTGTCCTTATCTTATTATAATTTTTAAAAGTTTATTTTTATTTTTTGTATTAGTTTTACTTCCAAATATATACCTACATCTTTCCCTATCCTTGTCACAAGGAATGAGAAAGAAAGAGAAAAAAGAAATTCAGAAAAACTAACTGAAATGTCTACTGAATCTGACACTGTCATGGTCTTCCGCTTTTGCAATGAAGGGAAGGAGATGAATTTTCTCCTCCCTCCTTCAGGTACAAGCTTAGTCAGTAGAGTTACCTAGAATTCAGTTTCCTGTTCATTTAGCTGATGTTGCTTTTTTGATTTACACAGCTGAAGTCATCATGTATATTGTTCTCCTGGGTCTATCTACCTCAATTGGCATCAGTTCATAGAAGCCTTGTGATTCTCCAAATCCTTCTCCTATTGTAATTTGATTATAGTTATTTGCACTTTGCTGTTATCTCCCTCTAACATACTGAAAGCTCCATCATAATAGTAAGAATAAGAGCTAACATTTATATAGTACCTACTTTGCGCTAGGCATTGTAGCTTTACAAATATTGTCTCATTTGACCCTCACAACAATCACGGGAGGTAGGTGCTATTATTATTGTCATTTTACAAAAGAAATTAAGACAAATACAAGTTAAATGACTTGGTTATGGTCACACAGCTAATAAGTGTCTGGAAGGCCAGATTTGAACTCTGGTCTCTCCTGATTCCAGACCCAGTGCTTTATCCACTACACCATGCAGCTTGAGGGCAGGGTCTATGTACTCTTTCATCCTGGTATCCCTACTACCTGGCACACCGCCTTACACATAATAGATGTTTAATAAACAGCTGTGGAATCGAAACAAGTGAGCAGAGACTTCCCTGGGGTCAAACAACAGTCTCACACTTACCTCTGAAGAGCCTTCCCAGAGACTTCAAGAATTGGCAGGTTTCCACAGGGGATGTGCAAGTGCTAATGTATTTCTGTACTCTCTCTGCCAATTCAAACACCGTCACGTTGGATGCCAAGGAGAAGGTGGTTTGCAGCGAGACGACCACAGTGCCGGAATCCCTGGAGACAAAGGGACACTTCATAGACTTAACAGGGCCCCTGAAAGCAATCCTTTGGAATAGCCATTTAAGGATGATTGGGATTGCTGAAAAGGTTCATTGTTTTTGTTTCACAGAGAGGGAAATGTAGAGACATATAATCATAAGTGACTTGGCCATGGGTTACCCTGTGGCTCTTCTTTCCCTCTTTCTGGAAGTTGATTTTTAAAAAAAGTTTGTGTTAATGTTTTCTATTTCTCATATCATTATAGTTATCTCCAGTATCCTTCCCCTTCCCCCTCTGCCTACCATAAAGCAATCCAATATAACAAATAGTATTTTTTTTGGAAAGGAAAAAAAAATTATGAGTCGATAAATTGAAAAAGTCTAAGATAAGAACATGTGCAATGTGTAATCCTTGTGGACCTCCCACCTCCACAAGGGGGTGGATGAAGGGTGTCTTCTCCTACATTCTTAAGCTAGTTTTAAGTGTTTTACTTACCTGACAGCTTGGACAGTGGATCTGGTGTAACCAGGTAATGTTGAAAGAGATATATTTAGCTGGAAAAGAGAATGGATTAATCATTCGCAAATAGCAAAAGCTTTTAGACCCATCACCAGTTTCCTATTCAGTGCTATAATAGGTCAAGGCAACTTTGCACAGAAGAAAAATCTTTATTTTTGTTTTGTTTTTCTTCCTTTCAAATGAGTTTTTTCGACTCTTGCCCTATTCTTCCCGGAGTACAAAGGAGAAAAGCAGAGAGTACATCAATGGGGAATATCTCAGCAGGAAATGATGCTCAGTGGTGCACCCTGAGATGCTGGACATCTTAAAAGGAGTGGCAGGCTCCTAAGCCCCCAAGTATCAAAAGATTTGGAATCAGCTGTTTATTTGGGTTATATGTGGTAAAGTATCTTCATGGAGATTATGGGCTTTCTGATTGTTTCTCCTGCCTGATCAGAGGATGTGCCCTACTGGGGAAATGAGAGCCATTGTAAATGGTACCAAATTAGCCCTGCTCCTAACAAAGAAATGCATGAGTGGGTGGACTTGAAGTCCTTTTCACAAGTATTTTATGGAAAATTGCATTAAATTTGGATTGATGGGGTTTTGTTAGATCCAAGGGAAGAGTGAACATCCTCAGGTTTACCTGGAGCTCTGAGGGAGAGCAGGATCCAAGTGCTTTGAAGCTTTAAAATAACACATGAGAGAGAAAACACACACACACACACACACACACACACACACACACACACACACACA